TTTTACTTACTAAGTGAAGTCACAGTGTGTTAAGTAAGGACATGGAGGACTTTGAAGTCTTAGGCCCTGTAGCTACAGCAAGAATTAAACAAACCTCCAATTCTAGCCAGATTTTCATAAATCTTCACACTTAAGGTCTATTTACCTCAGTTCTTATTTTACCCAGTACAATATTTTAGCTTAAACAAACAAGCAAACAAACAAAACATACAAGTCATGCCAAAAGGCAAGAAAGAAAAGTCTGAAAAGACAAACCAAGAATCAGACCTAGATATGACACAGATGTTGGAATTACCAGACAGGAAATTCTAAATAACTCAGATTAGTACATTCAGGGCTCTCTTGGGAAAACAAGACAACCAACAAGATGGAGCAATGTAAGCAGAGAGGACATTCTAAAATAGAATCAAAGGAAATGTTAGAAATAAACAACAACAACAACAACAACACTGAAACAGAAATGAAGAATGATTATAATGCAATCAATGAACTGGACATAAAGGATCAGTGAACTGCAAGACAGGTGCATAGAAATTTCCCAAACTGCAATTCAAAGAGAAACAAGCAAAAAAGAACAATGAAACAAAGTGTAGCATACATGAAATTGTTTTTTTTTAATTGATTTTTTAAAAAAATAAATGACAACAGAATGCATCCCAATTCTTATTACATGTATAGAGCACAATTTTTCATGAAATTGGACTACCAGAAGGAGAAAAAAAGAAATGAACTAAAATAAATATTTGGAATAATAATAACCATAACTTTCTGAAACTTTCGGACTACAGATCCAGGAGGCTCAGATAACTCTGAATGGCAGAATCAGCAGCAAAAACACAAAAGATAAAAACTCCCCAAACTGCACCTGGGCATGTTCTATTCTAATTGCAGAAATCCGAAAACCTGGAAAAAAGCCAGAGAGCAGAACATGCTTGACCTCTTAGGTGATGAACCGACCTTGATCACACTCTCAGCCACTTAGGCACCACCTTCCTCCTTTCAGTTCCTGGCAACTCTAGCCTTGTGGTCATTCAGGCCAAAAAACCTCAGCCCCTCCCTTTTTCATACTTGATATCCAACCTGGTACCTGTTCAGAGCGCATCCACACCTAGCCATGACCTCAACCTCCCCCAGTTCTGCCCCGTGCAAGCCACCTGGGTGCTTCCCTGCACTACTGCATGGCCTCCGAGTGTCTCTGTTTCTACCTCTTTTTGATTTATTCTTTTCACAGCACCCCGAGTGACCCTTTGAAAATATCACTCTGATCAAGTCACTGTACTGTTTAAAGACTGGCAATGGGTCCATATTTCACACAGTAAAAACATGGCATCCTCTCCATGGGCTTTTGAAGCACTCCCATATCTCTTCTTTATGCTTCTTCTTGCATCTCTGAATCTTCTCTATGTCACCCACTGGGCTCCAGCCAGGCATGGCTCCTTGCTGTCCCTTGAATAAATCAGCCATTCTGGTACCTTAAGGCCCTGGTACACACTCTGCCTCGCCTGGAATGCTCTTCCCTCTGACCTATTAGTGGCCTCCTTCTTCCCCTCTTCCAAGTCTTAACTGAAATGTCCCCTTCTCAGTGAGGTCTACTCTGACCACCTGTTTTATGTCACCATCTCTCCCTTCCTCACCAAGGGTCCCAAATCCTCAGGATACCACCCCCTCCAAAGCTTTTTTCCGCATGTTGCTGTGTATCTTCTAATTTACTATAAAATTCTTTTAGCTGTTGCTGGAAAAGGAAATTTATCCTTTCTGCACCATAGACTTTTTTTTTTTTTTTTAAATTGCAACTTGTGCCAGATTTTTTAAAAGTTCTATTTTGGGCTCACAAAATGGCATCCCTCTGCATCACAGTTGTATGTGCTCTGATGCACAGCAGACAAAATGTCCAGATAATGACTCCATAAAGCATGGAACTTGTGGTTCTGTGAACACAATCCCTGTTTTTGTAAACAAATGACACAACAGTGCCCGAGAAGACCATATTTGGGGGCATGATGATAAACTACTGACAAATGTCATCCATTAAGGCTCTTCTTGTATCCTCAAGGACAGGAACATAGAGATTTAATATATCAACATTCTTCAAAGAAAACAGAACTGTTTTAAACAGACACATAAATCAAAACTAGACACAGCCCAAGTCCCACTCTTAGGCTAGGTCAGGACTCTTGGAGAGAGATTCCAGGGTGTGGAGGCTGGTGTAGGTCAGTGATATCCAACTGGCAAAGATTATTGGAGTGAAATAAGGTGTCAGGCTTAATGAAGAAAAGTGTACCAGAAAAAAAAATTGTCTTCTTTGTCCCCCAATCACGAGGCATTTCTAACTGTCACTGTACTTGCAGGTGACAGTTCTAGAGAGTCAGGTCTTGATTTAGGTATTCAACACATGTTTGACATTCGGCGGATGTTGGAGGGTTTCTCTGTGCCCACTCTTCTGCAATTGCTAAAGAAGGAATGAGGTTTACTTATTGAAAAGGTGGTATAATGAGCACAGAGGGCCTGCACAACTCTGAACAGTCACAAGTAAGTATGGACAGGCGAATCTCCTTCTTACCGGGACCTTCTTAATTCCCAGCTTGCTGACATGTGGATTTCTAAACCAACCCCATATTCAGTGTGTGAACATTGGCCATCTTGGAAGGAAGTCAAAAGAATTGTTGCCCCAGAATTTCAGGGCAAGTCCAGAAGGAGACCCAGCAATGGTTAGAAGCTACGACCCCACAGCTAAAATGTCTGTGTGACCTCCCAGGGAGATGACTAAGGACATCTACATTTACCTGCAGGGCTTATTCTGCTGCCTCTTAAACAGTCATCATACGTATGTCATAGTTGCAGCTCTCAGCACAGGCAGCTTAAAAAAAAAAAGTAGGTGAACTGCAAAACTTAATCTGCAATTCGTCAATTCATCGTTTGGACCTGAAATAACTCTTCTCCACCGACAGCATGCTGTAGCAATTGATGGCCTTTCCTCTTTGGCCCTCCAAATGCCAACAAAGGTAAAATAACCAGGGATACAAATATCGGAAAATAGTCACTTCAAGTGACTCCACTTGAAATCAGAAGCAAAGTAAAATATTTTATTGGGACTTTATTATCAGAAGTAAAATCAGTTAAGAAAATACGCTTATATTAGTTTAAACTTTACTTTTTGACTTATAAAAATGACAAATCTGCATGGTTCCATCTCATATTTAACATGATTTTGATTAGGCTGTGAGTCTGCACCAATACTTAGAATGAACCAAGAATTAATCAAGTGTCATTTGAATTTGAAAGCTACAATTTTTTCCCCCCTGTGGACAAAGCTTTAGGAGAATACGATATGAAAACATGAAGGCCTTTTGATTTTTTACAGCACCTTCATAAATAAGGTCTTCTTGCCTAAACTTTAGATATTTTGCCTAAACTTTTCCCAGATTATCTTCTTGACATACATAGCCACCAACATTCTGCTTTACTTTCTTTTCTTCAAATGTTTACTGATGTAGCCAGATCTTTATTTGCCAGAACTTTGTGTAATTTGAGGACTTCCTCCCTTTTGGTAACATTGAATAGACATTTTCTTTGCACCTTGAGAGTTAGGAACATATCGACACAGTAAATAAAGATGTTTGTGGAACCTGGAAAGACTTGTTTGAATGAGGACTAATATCCTGAGAGGCCCTTCAAACAAAACCCAGATTCTCATCCATTTAAATTATAAGAAAAGGGTAGAAGGCAATGCAATTCAACTCTAACAACTAAAAAAAAAAAAGTTTAGTTTAGTTTCAGAAATCTTATCTTAAACATTGAAACTTTTTTTTTTTTTAAGGAATCTTTAATTAGAGAAAATTCAGCATAGGCTTAGTGATCCAGAAAGAGCCCTTTTAAGGACTGTACAAGCCAGCTGGACATTGGCCTTAGAGGTTAATGAATCAATTCTTTATTATGTGCAGTTCATTTGAAAAACATATTTTCCTCTTCTTCTTGAAAGTGCTCTTTCAATGGGATATACTTAGACATGTCACTTCAGAGCTGGGAATGTGGCTCAGTGGGAGAGTGAGGCCCTGGGTTCCATCTCAACCACCCCAGCACTAAGGGAAAAAAAGTTACTCCATAGAGCTGTTTGAGCCTTTTATGAAAGCAATTTTCAAAGCCACATTGCCAAGTCTCTTGATTTGTAAATAGTCTATGCATTTTTATATTTTAAAGATTCTTCCTTGGCCCCATCTGACATTTTAGTGAAAGTTCAAAATACAAAAAAAAAAAAAAAAAACTTGCAGAAAATTAATACTATAAATACTTATATCCCCTAGCTCTGTTTACCAATAATTTTGCTGCATTTTCTTTGTCTCTACATATTTACTTTTTCCTCTGAATCATTTAGAAGTAAATTGTAAATATGTCTCTCCTGATGTTTCAGCATGCATCTCCTAAGAATAAGGACGTTCTCATATGTGACCATGATGTCATTATCACAACAAAGAAATTCAACACCAACACTAAAAATTTGTGTAATTTGTAGTCCATAATCAAATTTCAGCAATTATCTCAATGTTGTCCTTTATGGATGTTTTTCTTCTCTGCTCTGATCTGGGGTCCAGTCAGAGAAGGTGCTTGCATAGGCTTGCCATGTTTCTTTCACTCCTTTATTTTAGAACAGTTTCTCCACCATTTTTGATCTCTGTTGCATTTGCGTTTTGAAGAGCATAGACCAAATATTTTGTGGAATGTTACACCATGTGGATCTGTCCAGCCTCAGGCTAGACCTTCTTTGGCAAGAAAACTATATAAATATTGGGTGTCCACTGCAGGGCATCTGGAAGCATATGCTCTCCACGCACACCTGTGCTGGTGATGTTAGGAGTCTTTTTTTTTTTCTCCCAAAAAGCAGACCCTGAGACAAAGAGTTTAGTACAAATGGTTTATTTGGGACATGATCTCAGGAAGCACGTGGGAGTGAGGAAGCAGGGCAGGAAGTGGAAAAGTCCACTTGAGATGGGGTGACTGCTATGAGCACGTGGGGCCAGCCCAGCTGGGGACTCTGAGCAACTGAGCCACACCACCGTCAGAGTGACCTTGCTGATGATGTAGGACAGATGAGGCTGGACACCCGAGGAATTGAGGCTCATACTGAATAAAATCCTCTGGACCACTGCAGCCAACAATCTGCTTCCTGCTAATTCCTTGGGTGCCCAGCACTAACTGTCCTACATCATTTGGTGACCCAGATGGGATGGTGGAGGTGAAGATGGCTTTTCTGCCTTTCTTGTCTAGGGGTCTGGCTTTTCTGGGACAGTAGAGGACAACACTTCTCTTTTGTGTGACACAGGTGACTCTTTGCCTGCAGGTGAAGTGACTTACCCAGTGCCCTGGAGTGGCTGCCCCAGCACAAGGGAGCCCAGGAGGAACAGGAAGCAAGACTAGGGAACTTGGAGCACGGCCCGACTGAGCAGGTAAGACCCAGGTCCATTAGTGGTAGCCCACCCGACTTCCCCATAGAGGCCTAAGCCGGTGGAAGATAGGCTCGATCACCCTCTGAGGGTCCTGAGTAACTTCCAAAAGGAGTTGGAGCAGAAAAGGACCCAGGGAGTCGCCTGAGTAGTCTCTGTTTGGGGTCAGCCTGCAGAAGGGAAACCATGACTCCTTCTTTGGTTTTGGAATTTGTGGAATTTTGGGGATTTGGGCAGTATAGAAATTTTGCTCTGATCACGTCTGTGTGAAGGTGTGTGAAACGTGTGAAGAGACAGATGAAGGAAGGGCTCCAACCTGACCCGAGGGCCAAGCGAGTGTGAAGTTTCAATCTGCGGTTCTGTGGTGCCACGTACAGTCTGTGGTGGACCCCACCAATCAACGTCCAGGTGAAAGCTCCAGGTTGGGGGTTGATGCCAACCCTCAAGGCTGAGAGGACCTTAAGTCCCTGGGAGGGGAATGGCCCGAGAGGGCCAGAGTGAGTCTTGTCCTAATTGTGAGACTCCATGCAGGGTGGAACATGGGAGGCGCACAAAGGAAACTGAGTCCCTTAAACCCCTTGGAATGTATGTTGAGAAACTTTAAGAAAGGTTTTAATGGAGACTGTGGAATGAAACTCACTCCACAAAGGTTGCATACTCTCTGTGAATTAGAATGGCCCATCGTAGGTGTGGGCTGGCCACCAAAAGGATCTTTAGATAAGCCTATCAATGCTGAGATCTTGGGCTGGGGATGTGGCTCAAGCGGTAGTGCGCTTACCTGGCATGCGTGCGGCCCAGGTTCGATCCTCAGCACCACATACAAACAAAGATGTTGTGTCCGCCGATAATTAAAATATTTTTATTAAAAAAAATTCTCTCACTCTCTCTTTAAAAAAAATGCTGAGATCTTTTAAATAGTTGTTGGAACCCCCAGACTAGCTCCCTTACATTGATTGCTCCCACGAGATAGTACAGAAACAGCCCCCTTGGTTGAGAGTCTGTCTAGATGGACAGTCCAGGTTGATGTTAGCTTGGACTATAGCGGTCTGTAAGACCTCCCAAAAATGCAACTAAGCAGAGAATACCTGACAAAGAAAAGGAACCAGTTTTGCCCAGTGAGCCAGAAGAGAACCCATCAACTTACATGCCACACTACGGGACCTTTCCAGGACCACCAAGACAACAGGCTGGCCCCTCAGACCCTTTGTCCCCAAAGACAGCAGATGATGGCCTTTTGACACAGGCTACTCCTTCCTCCTTGATGTCCGTAGGGCCAGAGTCTTCCCCAGGGCCAAAGATTCCTCCTCTGCCCCCCAAGACCAAGATGGGAACCTGTCCCAAGACCAGAGTCACGACCCAGTTAAGAGCTCTCCAGATGCTCCTACGAGACACAAGAGGACCTGCCAATGTTGACCAGGAGGGAAATGTCTGCGGAGGACAATGCATTTTTGTGTATCAGCCTTTCATCATCACTGATCTCTTGAATTGGAAAAATCATACTTGCTCCTACACAGAGAAGCCCCCGGCCATGATTGATCTGTGCAATCCATTGTCCAAACACATCAGCCTACCTGGGTTGATCACTGCCAGCTCCTTCTGATTATTCAATATAGAGGAGCATAGATGGGTGATCCAAGCAGTTCCATGTGAGGCCTTCCACCTCTTCACTCCCTTTGATCCCGCGGCACCAGACATCAACAGATAATCAAGGCTGCCTTTGTGGGACAGGTTCAGGGTGACATTTGCTGAAAACTACAAAAACTAGAGGGTTTTTCTGGGAAGAATGCCAGTGAGCTGGTTGAAGTGGCCACCACAGTGTTTGTCAACCAAGACCAAGAGGCCCAGCAAGAAGCAGACCAAAAGATGAAGAAGAGGATGGGTCTCTCCTTGCACTTGCCCTTACTGCAAACCTGAGAGCCACCCAAGCCGGGGGAGGGGGTGTCCCACCAGGACAAAGCCAAAACAAATATCAAAATTGGGGCCAGATGCAGGGTGGGAGGAAGGTCTGGATGGAGGGACCACCTCACCAGGGGAATAGGCTGAGACTAAACCAATGTGCCTGCTGCCATCTAGAGAGCCACTGGGAAAATGAATGCCCCAACTGAAGGGAGACAACTGGTTGCTACTACTCCTTACCAGGATGAGAGGCAAAGCCATTCAAGGGTAATACCAGGCCTAAATCTGTCCCCCATGAAGCTCAACACCGCAGACACCCCATGATAAAATCACCCGAGGAAAGATTTTGTGGGACTGGCAGCCATGGAAAATTATGATGAGTGCTAGGACTGACTGGGCTCCATCCCTCTGGGGTACGAATGCTTATAGGGGGCCAACCTATGGAGAGTGAGGCCCTCCATTCTGTGGTGACCCAACCTGTGGGCCTACTTTCAAAGAAGCATACCACAGTTGTGGGATCCCTGGGCAACAAAGCTTGTCATCCTTTCCTGTTGTCTCAGTGTTGCAATTTAGCAGGTCACGAAGTGGTCCATGAGTTCCTGTACCCGGTGCCGCTGATGGGTTGAGACCTGCTAGGAAAGCTCTGAGCCCAGATAATTTTTGATGCAAAAGGCCAGGCAGCCTTACCATTGGGAAAACCTGAGCAAGAATTTTAACCCTCACAATTCCCTAGGAAGAAGAGTGGTGCCTCCTCAACCTTGTACAGACACCATAACATGGACCAGAGCTCCCTTGCCAAGTACTGGGAGTATGGGCAGAGGACAATCCACCTGGACTAGCCCAGAACATTCCCCCAGTGGTGGTGAATTTAAAACCAGGAGCCATACTGGTACACCTGAGATACTACCATATTCCTCATAAGGCACAAGTTGGAATTCTCAGGCCTTGCCAATCACTAGCCAATCAACCTTTTGTGCCTGTCCAGAAACCAGGAACTGATGATTACTGGCCAGTCCCAAGATTTATACGCAGTAAGTCAAGCCACAGTCACCTTATATCCTGTGGTCCCCAATCCACAAACTCTCCTAAGTCTTCCCTAGCTGAAGCAACCTATTTCACATGCCTGGACCTTAAAGATGCCTTCTCTGCATTCAACTGGCACCACAGAGTCACTACCCTTTGCCTTCCAATGGGAAGACGCCAATGAGAACAGAGGCCAGTGGACCTGGAATAGGCTATGACAAGTTTTCAAAAACTCACCAACCACCTTTGGGATAGCGCTGGCCTCTGACTTTCCTGAAAAGCAATGTGGGTATACATGGCTGCCATACATAGACGATCCGTTGCTACCCAGAACAACCAGAGAGGACTGCATGAAAGGGACACAGCTGCTTCTCACTCTCCTATATAAGCCTGGATACAAAGTTTCAAAGAAGGAAGCCCAGATCTTGTCAAGAAAAAGTCAAGTACCTTGGTTTCTATCTGACTCAGGGTCAATGGCAACTGGGCCCCAAGAGGAAATAGGCAATCTGCTAAATTCTGGTCCCTTCAACCTGCTGTCAAATCAAAGAGTTCTTAGTACTGCTGGATTCTGTCACATATGGATCCCCAACTTTTTATTTATGGCAAAACCCCTCTCTGAAGCCACAAAGAGGGGAGAATGGGAGCCTCTGATGTGGGGGCCCAGTGCAACAAAAGGCCTTTGAGGATATTAAACAAGCCCTCACCAGTGCACCTGGACTAGGGAATCCCTGACCTCCCAAAGCCCTTCTCTCTGTATGTCCATGAGCAGTCTGGAATAGCTGTATGAGTCCTGACTCAAATGCCAGGGACGTGGCATGGTCCAGTGGAATATCTTTCTAAACAGCTGGACTCTGTAGCCCAAGGTTGGCCATCTTGTTTATGGGCCTTTGCAGCCAGAGCCCTTCTGATGTTGGAAGCTGATAAACTGGCTATGGGACAAAAACTGATTGTCAGAGTTCCTCATTCAATTTTGGCATTGTTAGAGTATAAAGGATAATATTGGCTGACTAATGAGAGGATGGTCAAATACCAGGGCTTGCTATGTGAAAATCTATATATCCGTGGTGAAGTCGTCCCAACTCTAGACCTAGCAACTCTGCTGCCTGTGGAACTGAACAACCTGATCACAACTGTATTGAGGTCAGTGCAATAGGCCTCCAGCAGACCAGACCTGGCAGATCACCCCCTCAAGGACTCTGATGCAGAGTACTTCACAAATGAAAGCAGTTTCATAAAGGATGGGATATGTCTTGCTAGATATGCAGTGGTCACTCTGGACTCCATTGTTGAGGCAGAACATATTGCTCTGACCTGAGCACTCCAACTGGCAGCAGGAATCTCTGAAAATATCTACACAGACTAAAAATATGCTTTCACCACCCTTAATGTTCATGGGGCCTTATATAAAGAGAAGGGGCTAATTAACTCAGGAGGGAAAGGCCCAAAATATAGACAGGAAATTCCTAATCTTCTAGGTACAGTACAGGCACTCAGAAATGTGCAGTTATAAGTGCCAGACCACCAAAGGGGAAACACCATGGTTGCTCAGGGCAACCCAAAGAGCAGACAGAAAGGCCAGCTTAGCTGCCTGCAGGAAACAGGAAGGAAATCTAGTCTCAGGCTTAACTGCCATTTCTTCTGTCTGACCCTCGAAGAAAATGGAAACCCAAATACTCCCAACATGGAAGTAATTGGTTTAAGACTGAAAAAGGAAGATATCTCCCAGGCAGATGGTAGAGATTTTCGCAAGCATCTCCTGGGTGATCTGTGAACAATGTGAGATTTGTGCCCACAACAACCCCTTGCCAGGGGCCAAGGCTTCCACCAGAAATCCAAACTACAGGAGGATCACCTTGTGAGGACCTGGAAGTAGACTTCACTGAACTGGTTTTTGTGTGCTTACTCTGGCTGGGTTGAAGCCTTTCCAACCTGCACAGAGAAGGCTAGAGATTTTTCCCAGATTTGGCATCGCAATAACCATTGGCTCAGACAATGGGCCAGATTTCGTGGCAGAGTTTAAATATCAGATGGCAACTGGGTCGTGGCTCAGGAGTCGTGCACTTACTTGGTATGTGTGAGGCACTGAGTTCAATTCTCAGCACCACATATAAATATATAAAATAAAAGTCTACCAATTAATTAAAAAATAGATCAGATGGAAGCCACATACTGGCCGTAGGTCACAGAGTTCTGGTAAAGTTGAAAAGATAAATTGGACTTTAAAGGCTCAACTGGGTAAACTGTGTCAGAAAACTCACCTGCATTGGGATGAACTCCTCCCTATTGCACTGTTAAGAATTAGATCCACTCCCACTAGGAGTACTGGATTCTCTCCTTATGAGATAATGTGTGGGAGCCCCCCCGCCCCACATACCAGGGGATTACAGGGAGACTTAAGAGACATAGGAGAATTAACATTGAGACAACAGCTTCTGGCTTTAGGGAAAACCTTACAGACTCTCAACCAATGAATCAGGGGAAGATTGCTAGTAAGTTTGACCACAGATGCACACTCCTTCAAGCCTGGAGATTTGGTCTGAATCAAAGAATGAAACGCTCAGCCCCTGAAACCTCTTTGGAAGGGTCTTTTCACTGTTATTTTATCTACCCCAACTGCAGGAAAAGTTCCGAGTTGGTCCCTGGATTCATAACACCAGGCTCAAGCCCGCAGCTGTGGACTGAGTTGCTCTCCAGACCCTGCTGCATCCCTGAAGCTGCCCATCCAGAGGAAGGAAGCTCTGGAGAAGCTTGAGGATCAGAAGGACAACAGCCCTGTTCTAGTCACTCCGCAAGCTGACTAGACTGCGCACGGTCGAAGCTCGAGAAGACCACAACCCTGCTTTGGCCACTCAGAGGCTGGCTGATCAACACACAGAGGAAGATAGACTTACCATCAGGACAAATAGACTCTTTCAGCTGCCAAGATAGTTCTTATACTGAAATGCATTGACACCCCTTACTTCTATCCCTATATATAGTTTTCTGCTTGGTTTTTGCTACAGGTTTGATAACAGTGACTCCTACTGACTGGACTCTTGGTAACAAAATTTTATTTGTCCTTTTTTACCTTGCTTTATAGGTTTACTCGGGTTTGTTTGGTGTTCTTAGTTTGGCTTTGTTAACTTACACTGTTTAGCCTATCCTAACCAAAATGTTGGTCTACCATTTAGTTTGGTTTCCTTTGATAATCTTAGGAAGCTCTACCCCACTCCTGCCCCAAGAGTGGAAATCATGTGAACCATGTGTCAAATCAATCTATTATAATGAAGGGGTGATTCAAACTATATATTTAGGATCTGCCCCACCAGAAAGATGCTATAAGAGGATGACTGTTTGTCTCTGGGAAAGAAAAAGAGTCTACATGGCTTGGATTGAATCCCAATATAAGGGGGATATAATTTGCCCAGGGAATTTCCCCCCTACCAATGGAATTTGGTATTGCTGGCCGCTGGATCCTCAGCCTCTGACATGGGAAAACTTTATAAAAAGTGATTCAAGTTCGATTGCTCTAAGACCCACCGTAAGTCCTAGCCCTGCTGCTAAACTATATGGGGGATTAAGTCCAAATCTCAACCTTCCTTCTTTGGGGAAAAATCTCTTTCTGGACCTAGCAGAAAGAATAGCTAAAAGCCTTGGGGTTAAAAACTGTTGGGTGTGTGGAGGGGCCCTGATGAGTGAAGAATGGCCCTGGACCGGAACAAGTCTAGATGCTTACTCCTTACTACTGTGGAATAAGACTCATGTGGAACTAAAAATTGAAAGGCCCCAGGGCTGGGTCCTCACTTCAGAAGTACTTGGTAAGGAATGTATTGGAAGATTTGGACCTCACCACACCCAGTGGGTAGGTGAAACCCCGTGTAACAGAATATTGTTCTGGAATTCCACCTGGTGGCCTAAAAAACCTACTTGGTTTTGGGCAGATAAACCACATTGGCTGGGGATTAGGGGTCTTATATGCAAAAAGCCCTTAAAGAAAAGAGTTCTTTTTAACTGTACCAGTTCAGACACTAACCAAATCAGTTCTTTTCGGAGCATCCCTGAGATCCACAAATTCTGGAGCAATCCAGCCTCCTCTAATTGGAAAGCACCTGATGGACTATTTTGGATCTGTGGAAAAAAGGCCTATACCCACCTCCCAACAAACTGGAGGGGAACCTGCACTATTGGTACTATTAAACCTGGATTTTTCCTATTGCCAAATACAACTGGAAAAGACCTAGGGATCCCCTTGTATGAGGACCTAGGGCCAAGGAAAAAGAGGTCCATTGGGAAAGGACTTGATCTAGGAGGTCAACAAACTTGGGCTGAGGATGACTGGCCACCTCAGAGAATTATTGCCACTTATGGTCCCGCTACCTGGGCACAGGATGGCAGTTGGGGCTATAGAACTCCTATTTACATGCTAAACAGGATCATTCGCCTACAAGCTGTACTAGAAATTATTACTAATCAGACTGCCACAGCCTTTGACCTCCTAGCCACACAACAAACACAGATGAGAGCAGCTATCTATCAAAACCGCTTGGCATTAGATTACCTACTGGCTGAGGAAGGGGGAGTGTGTGGAAAGTTCAACAGCTCAGACTGTTGCATCCAAATAGATGACAATGGACAGGCAGTCAAAGACATAGCCAGCAACATAAGAAAACTAGCACATGTGCCAGTTCAAACCTGGAAGGGTTTTAAAGCTTGGGATCCAAGCTCACTGTTTGGAGGATGGTTTTCAACTCTTGGTGGATTTAAAAGCTTAATTGGTATAGTAGGTCTTCTGCTATTAACTTGTTTATTGCTCCCATGTTTGGCTCCCCTGTGCATTAAAACTATTGGGTCTACTATGGAAGCAGCTATTGAAAGAAGGACAACAAATAAGATTTTGGCATTATATAAGACTTTAAGGCAAGAAGGTGATAATGATGCTCTTTAATTTAAAAAATTAAATTGTGGAGCACAATATTAAAGGGGGGGATTGTTGTGACACCCCCCCTCCACTAAAAATCTCAATTAAGCTTCTCTAGAGACCCTCACCACAATTGTTCTGTTTTTTTTTTTTTTTTCTCTTTTGTGGTGCTAGAGATTGAACCCAGGGCCTTGTGCATGTGCGGCAAGCACTTTACCAACTGAACTATATCCTCAGCCCACAATTGTTCTTATTAACAGAATTGCAGCAAAAATCTCTGTTAAAAAATTCCATACGGGTTAGGAATTCCTATTTTTTGTGAGGACAAAGTTGTTCTGTCTTGCAAAGCTAAGTTTGGCTGAAGACTTGATGATGTTACTTCTGCTTTTGTGATAAACCTGTAAAACCTGTCTAATCTAAAAAGAAAACTGGGACGAAAAACACTTTCTGTGAATTAAAATTTTATGTAGATTCCTACAAATATGTAAACCTCCAAGCCCCCACTCCCCACCCCCAACTGGGTATGAAGTTCCAAGAATTTCCAGACTCGGGGTCCAGAGGACTTTCTTGCACACGGGCCTCACTCTGAATCACTGTAGCCAATAAACCTGCTTCTTGCTGATTCCTCCGGTGTCCAGCTTCATCTGTCCTATATCACCCAGAGGCACGGAAGTCATGGGATTTATCCAACAACACTCACTGGTCGAACCACATGCTCCCATCTCCAGAGAGTTTCTTCAGGAACAGAGATGCAGAAGTTGTCTGCCTATTCTGGAACAGTCTGGAGAGGCCCTGTGTGGTGGAACAAGGGAAATTGGAGGAGGATCCAAGGGTCTGCTATGCTCAACTTGGTCTCTTGGGAAAGGTGGTGTCTACTAGGTCTCTCCATTGCAAAGGTAACATTTACCTTTGTGATTGAGAAGTCATTCTCAAAGATGAAGCTTGAGATCAAATGAGCATCTTATTCCCCAAAGACACTTTAAAAAAATGATTTAGTATGATTCACCCAGAACTCCTCTTAACATGAAGAATCTGCTGTGGTTTCCATATGGTTTGAGAGTGTTCCCCAAGAGTTCAGGCCCTTGAAGCCAGGTCCCAGTGTGATGATATCATGGTAGGACCTTTAAGAGCTGGGATCTCATGGAAGGTGATTAGATCATTAGGGCTATGCTCTCAGAGGAGGTTAATATAGACATGGATTGTTATAAAGACCAAGCCTCAGCCCTGAATGCTTCTGGCTTCCTGCCTCTTGGTGTGATGTCCTGCTCTCATATGTTCCTGCCTTGATGCCATCTGCCATGTTGCCAAAAGGCCTTTACCAGAGGCTAAAGCAATGGGGCTAACTGATCTTGGACTTGCAGCTTCCAAACCAGTGAGCTATTTAAATAAGCCCCCTTTCTTTATAAAGTACCCAGCTCCCCATATTCTGTCATAGCAACAGAAAATGAACTAATTACAGGAGCAATCTCTATTTCTGGTCCCTGAGCTCCAATAACCTATAATTAATGGAGTTTAAAGATACCTGGCCCCTGAATTCTTTGAGTGAGCCTCATTCTGCCCCTTGCTGTCCTCTTATGTCTTCAGGTCCACAGGGACTTGTCCTTAGTGGTTTCCTGCTATTATAGTCTGACTCAAGACAGGAACTGCTTCCAGGATTCTTGTAAATACTCCCCTTTAATCTCATCTCCTCTACTCTTAGGGTTGGTTCTAACCACCTCTCTGCCAAAGTAGATGAAAAGGAGAGGCTCAGGGCTCAAAGTCAGAGCAAAGAGACTTGCTTTCTCATAGCCAAGAGCATCAAGAGCCTCATTTCCAGCTCAGAAGAGCTAAGAGACCCCTCCCTGAGGGGAAGTATCTGCACTTAATGGAGATTCCCACCTGCAGAACCATGGCTTCCTAGACTGCAGGACTTGGCCAGCCCCATCCTTCCCTGATGTGGAAGCTCCTGGGTCCCACTCATGTCCTAGGCTCTTCATTTCTAGGGTCCCTTTTCCCTAGATCCTTCAGGAATGGCTTCATCAGGGGCCCAGAGACCAAGACAGCCCAAGGCGTCTATTCTGTAGGGTTGTGTGTCTGGGGTCTGCAGAGGAGACTGTAGCTTCCATTCCAGAGAAGCTTACGCAGCTCCCACGGCCTGATTCCTTCCCCTCCCATTCTACCTTGTGTTTCTCACCCTAAGCAATATATTATTTACTTTTGAAGAAAACAAGAACAGCAAGCGTAAGCCCATCCAAGTGAGAAAAGGCAGCTCTGCCAAGGTGGGAAGAGGCTTCCTGGGAGAAGATGAGGGAGCTGCCTCAAGGTCAGTCTGTATCAGCCCTGAGGTTCAAGAGTCTTTCTCGGGATAAACCCAGGGCACAGCAGTCAGCCTCTCTGTCCCTCTTGCTTCTAAGCTCCCAGTGGAGAAGCCTTGCTGTGGCGTGGAAGGGATGTCCTCAGCTGACCCAACAGGGGGGAAGTAGAGGGGAAGGCGGGAGCAACATCAGGATGCTTAAGTCCAGCCACGGAAGATAAGAACCTTGCCCAGGTGTATTGTCTAGAAGTCTAAAGGGCGGTGCTGGCAGCAGGGCTCCAGGGCAGTGACTGTGCTTGGCCTGCAGGTCTCGGTCTCTAAGTCACAGGCTCCCTCCAGTGGACTCTGTCCCTGGTGAACAGCTGCCATCCTGGGACACCCTTTCCTTCTCCCTGGGGATTCCCTCACCTACCTCCTCTTTCCTGAATCCCATTTCTCCCTCTTTTTGGAGGAAGACAAATTCTCTCATTTGGAAGGAGTGCATTCTCCAGTGGCTTCTTGGTAAAGGGGATTTTTTTGGGAAACTTGCTCATTGGAAAATGTCAAGCATCAGGAAGACAATTTCCTTTAGAATTCTGAAGGTGCCGCTCCCTGGTTGGTCCAGTTTAGCCCATCAGAAGCCTGAAGCTAAGTGAGTCCCTCTATTTTCTGGGTGACCTATTCTTTTTGTTCCTGGAAGCCTGTAGAATATTCTCTTTTATGCCAGGATTTTATTTTATTTATTTATTTATTATTATTTTTTTAATTTTAATTTTATTTTTTTTATTAGCTACACTATGCCAGGATTTTAAAGCAATGATTGTGCCCTCTGATTCTCTGCTCCTTCTAGAAATTTCTGGTATTTGACGTTGGACTATTTGGCTAGTTCTCTAATTTTCTTTGACTTTTGGTCCAGTTTTAAAGATTTCTTATTCTTTTTGCTCTGGTCTCTGAGGGAGTCCTTGACCTTATTTTTTAAATCTCCTATCAAGTATTTGCTTATTTAAAACATGAGAATATTAGCTTCTTATTGCGCTACGACAACCCCCACAAACTTAGAGACAAAACACAGCGCAAATTATCTTACATCCAAAGTCAGCTTCCCAGGCCTGAAAGTGCTGGCTGGCCAGGGCTCCTTCCAGGGAGAAGTTGCTCCTTGTCCTCCCAGGTTCTGGTGTCCACTGTGTTCCTTGTTTGTGCCCCTTACCCCATGTCCAAAGCCAGCAAGACTTTCTGCTCTCTGGGTTCTTGCATCATATCTCTCTGTGCCTAACACTCTTGTCCCTTTTTGAGGATGCTGGTGATGTGTGAGGCTTACCTGGCAACCCAGCAGGGCCATCTCATCATTCAAAACTCCTCAACTTAATCACTTCTGCTAAGCGCTTTTCTAGGTAACATACTTGCGGGTTCCAGAGATTAGGACATGGCATTGGGGCAGTGGTGGGTGGGGGTGTTATTCTGCCTAGCACAGCCAGTGAGCTTTTCCTCCTGGCCAGACTCCCTAGAGAGTCTGTGTAGGGAAGTGATAGGCTGGATGGCCACCAACTTTCCGAGATCTGTGTGGGATAAGAGGGCTCACAGGGAGGAGTGTCCCAGCATCCAGTATTTGGGCCATGCAGTCATTTGGTCTCTGGGTGCAGTAACTGTGTCTAGTTTTCTCCAACTCTGGGACCCTCTGTTTTTACTTTTCCAAAGAATAAAATTTCAGATACCTGCCACTTCCTAGTGGCATAGAGAGAAGAGAAATGGGACTCACAAAATCCTTCTTGGTCCAGTGGTCCATTTGGGAGTCTTTTTAAGGTCGGGGTAAAAGGACAGTGTAGGCAATGGATAATTGGGCCAGGAAGATGGAGTTCAAAAGGAAATAAAATGCTGATACCTCCAGAGCACTTCCCCCTCCTCCAACCTGTTGCCAAGGTGACCTGCCTCCAGGGAGCTGTTCCTCACAGCAAGGGATTGTTAATGAGTGCCTCCCTGCCCCACCTCCCCCACGGTCCCTACCCTTCTGAGCAGTTCCTCTCTGGGAGGAGAGGAACTAGTCACATAGGCAAGATAAGAGGAGGAGGGCGCATGAGGAAAAAGGAAATCTGAAATGAAATAAAACCAGCTCTGGATCCCCTCGCCCTGGGTAAAGTCTGTGTCTGTTCTATCCTTTAAATAAAACTTCTTTTCTGAGGTTGCCTTGGTGTTTCTTGGGTGTTCAATCTTCAACACAAGGGCAACGGGGACCCGGATCCTGATTTATTCTCAACACGGGTATCATCTCTGGTCTCCTTTTGAGGTTTCTAATATATAAACCAGGTTGGTTCTCAGTGTTCCGTGGACAGCTCGAGCTTGCCGTGATTCTTGGGTTGGTTACTCAGATACCTCTCAGCTTCTACAATTTTATTGTGGTTATCTTTTCCCCTCACCTCTCCACATTTGTGGTCTTGTGTCTTTAAAAAAACTGGATTAGGCTGGGAGTGGTGGCGCATGCCTAGAATCCCAATGGCTCAGGAGGCTGAGATAGGAGGATCCTGAGTTCAAAGCCAGCCTCAGCAATTTCACAGGGTCCTAAGCAACTTATCGAGACCCTGTCTCTAAATAAAACATAAAAAGGCCTGGAGATGTGGGACAGTGGTTAAGCACCCTTGGGTTCAATCCCTGATACAAAACAAACAAACAAAACTATTATAAATTCAGTGTCATTTTAGGCAGGCATGAAATTATAGGGACCTATGTGTATCTGTTTTTATCTCAGTCCTTAAAAAGCATTTTGTCTGATTTGGTTAAGTTCTTTGGACCAGGCACTGTGTTATTTCTGATCCAAGTGGCCTGGCACCAAATCCAACGCTCTTTCTAAGTAAAAAGTTGTTGTGTCTGGTTCTATATGTCCTGCCGGCCTGCCCAGCTACCTGGCTGCATCTCCACTCCTGACAGATGCTGTAGCTCCTTCAGGACTGATTTTGACACCATCTCCCACAGCAGGAAGCACTGGCCAGTGTCTTTCCTAACATGACCTTGAATACCCGCCCCTCTCCAACCCCCAGCTTCCCAGGGATGGAAGTGCACAGGCCACAGGCAGGACTTCCAGGAACCTGAGGACCTGGCCACTAAGCTCATAGTCTCAGCTGGTGACATAAGGAAAGTTGAGCTTCTTGTTCTAATGGTCTTCCTTATACTCTGGATTTGGGAGTCTAACCTAGTATTGCCTGCCTCTTACCTTCTCCTCCTTTCTCTCCCACATTTGGATGCCATGTCACCTCTGTGGCCCTATTTCCTTCCTCTGCCCTTTTCTTTGGTTGCTTTTGTAGTACTTCCAAGTCTCGGCATCCCAGATCTTGGGCTCCAAGTAGACCTAAGTTCTGATTTAAGTTACCCCATTTCTAACGGTGTTACATGTACTAACCCACTTAATCTTCACAATAAAATGATGATTATTCCTGTTTCGAGGCACAGAGAGGCTAAGTAAACTTATTAGTCCCACAGCTAATAAGGCAGAGCCCAGACTTCAACCTGAGCAATCTGTCTCCAAAATACATTTTTCCTCACTATGCCATAGACCACATTCGTGTACCAAATACTCTTTTCTGAGAAAAGTATGCAAGTTTGTGTGTGTGTGTGTATGTGTGTGTGTGTCTCAGAGCAGGTGTTGACTGTGTGCATGGAGGATAGCAATGGGGAATGGCAGAGTGCTGAAGCCCAGCAGGTTTGTGATGGAGACGGTGCCCAGCAGAGAGATAAGGGAGAAGGGCCTGGCGTGCATGTTGACGTGGAGGGCCTGCAGGCCCACTCTATGCTAGGCCCCACAGACGATGGGAAAATATAAGACATGGCTGGTGTCATGGTGTGTGCAGATGGAAGGTTTGTAAATGTTCTACCTTAAATGCTTTTGACTTTAGCAATACAGGTCAGTGGTAATTCCCAGGACACAGGCATCTACTGATCCATAGATTCTCCATTGCCCAGGTGGGAAGGTCCCCAGCTGCTCATTTATTTCAGTGCTACTATTCTAGTCCAGCATCCCCACCACCAGGAGTGAGAGAAGATCAAGATATGCGTTTATATAAAACTTCTTGGGTTATCTAGGTCACTATTTTCCTCATTGAAAGTTGAAGTGCTATTTCATGATTTTTATGAATATTAATTGTTGAAAAACACTTGAAGAAAGCATGTACTTTTAAGGGTTGAAAAAATAGAAAATTTTAATAGTAAAAATATGAGTTTTAAAAAACATTTATAGTAAAACATATTTAATAAACACAACTTTAAAAAAGTATAGAAAAGTAGGAAGATAGATCATCTATGACCCAAATCAATCACAGTTGATATTTTGTTGTTTCTTACTAGATTTAGTTTTTATCCTAAACTTTGATTATTTGGTGGTTTGTTTTAAATAGTTATGCTAATGCTGTAAACAGAAATTTGTAACCTTTTTTTATGTAGCATTATTCCTAACCTCTAAAACATCATTCATAATTATCATATAATTTTACATTTAATGTACCACTCTTTAATTCTTCCCCCAAAGTTAGATTTTTGGAGGATTTCCTATTTTCCAGAATATTAGACCATGTTGTAATACACATTTGCAAAGAATTTTCTCTTATATTCTTACTTGTTTTCATAGTACAGATTCTTGGAAATGGACTTATTTGATTGAAGGGTATAACTACATATACTTGTGAAGTTCCTGACACATTAGTTCGAAAAAAATTCTCAATGAAAAGGTGGCCCGATTGGCACTTCCAGTGAGGACTGTAAATTTCACAAATGGGCATGATGAACACCAAATGTAGGAAATGCCCTCATCCAGGGTCACCCTCAAAGTACTCAGTGGGCCTGAGGCTTAGGTTGACAGCTATATCTTGACAATAAAAACATTCTTGTCCATATTCAGATGATTCCAGGCTATGGAAAAGAAAAAAACCAAAGTGAGTCAAGTTATAAATTGTCTTGATTAATAACCCATCATCCAGGTAGCAACTTAAACATTTAGCATATTCAAAACATGATAGGAGCTGGGCATGGTGGTGCATGTCTGTAATCTCAACATCTCAGGAGGCTGAGGTAGGAGGATCGTGTGTTCAAAGCCAGGTTCAGCAAAAGCGAAGTGCTGAGCAACTCGGTGAGATCCTGTCTCTAAATAAAATACAAAATAGGGCTGGGGATATGGCTCAGTGGTAGAGTGCCCCTGAATTCAATCCCCAGTAGCCCCCACCCCCACTATTTGAAACTATCTATTTGAAACTGCTCCAGAGAGATGTTGACATTATATGTTGTTAAAATGTGAGATTCCTTGTTCAAGATTTCTCTTCACTCTTGACTTGTTGAATAGGTTTAGTAGTTTACCATAAGTAAATTATCAGTATTTTAGCAGATGAAGTTGAATAGTTTCAATAGGATGAGACATTTCCCCTCTTCTCAAACCACTTGTTAGTGTCCTCAGTATAAAGAAGTATTATTACTTGAATATAACAATAGTGAGATAAAGTCCTGAGCCTTCCATTATCTCATAAGCATGACAATTCTTAATAACAGTAAAATATCATCATGCTTTTGGTTATCTCTACATAGAGAAATGAAATGCACTCATTCAAAACTCTTAGGCTATTTTGACCATACAATATAGTGCATCGATTTGACAGTTGTTGACTTAATTCATTCCATTGAGGCCAGTCAACAAATGACTGGAATATCAGAAAAAAAAATTGAGATTTTAGAGTTTGAGGAAAAATAAGGGCAGTAGAAATGGGGGTAAATGAGGGATTGCAGAGACCTTCCCCCAGGATAAAGGGGAAAAGGCTGGCGGCCAGCACTACCTGGATGATGACGGAGTAGGTGCCGCACAGGATCTTGGAAAGCTGAATGGAGATTCTGACGAGGCAGACGATCACCTGAAGCCCACTCAGGGCTATGAGGATGGAAAACAAAATCATGTTCCACTCCACCACGTGCGTGGGCTCCAGACACTGGCTCCACATGCTGGAATCTGTCAGAAAACTGAGAGAGAGGAGGGAATGGCCAACCAGAGCCTGGGCTTGGGCTTACATTGGATCCAAGGCTGAAATTACAGCCACTCATATGTTTGGGAAGTTAGTACCTTATCATTAAACTGTAACAACTATAACATCATATTAGCGTGTAGTAATATGAATTAATATATTTGAAAAGTCATTCAGGTGCATCTATTGAACACTGTATGCTTAGTTACTGAGTTAGACCCTTAGTTTAAACATGGTGTCTGCCTGGGAGGCACTCTCAGTTGATCAGGAGGTAAGACAAACCCCAGACAGGTCAACCACAGCGGAAGGCAGCAGAAGGTTGCAGATTCCAAGAAGGGGAGTTGAGAAGTCAGTCAGGGATGGAGACTTGTTCTGGACATAAAATCACATTTATGGCAAAAGGACAAAAATTGCGCTAGAAATTCCTTGACACTGTCCAAGCCCTTTCAATAAAGGCAACCACGTGAGCCAGCATCGGGATGACAGGAAGGCCCGTGAGAACCCAGCATGCAGGCCCCACTCCACTGCGCTGGCTCGGCAGGTCCGGAGGAACCGAGTTCCAGTTCTAAGTCTCCCAGGGTGATGCTGCTGTTCTCAACTCTGGTCCCCATAAAGAACCTCTTTTTTTTTTTTTTTTTTGCAACATTGCTGTCCCAGCTGAAGGAGACTCAGATTATGGGATGGGAGCACAACGGCCCACATTTCAATGCATCCAGTTTAGCACAAGGATATGAGATCAAACCACTCCCAGGACAAACCAGAAGCTACTTTGGACCAACCCAGTTGGCAGGCTCACCCTGGCTCTCTCATGGTCGTGGGAACTTCTAAGGGCCAGACTGTATGTTCAGCAACACTGAAATGGAGAACTGGGCTCCCCAAAACCTGCCCCGACAAAAATAATTGTCACATTCACAGGGGCAAAATGCTTGGCAGGGTGGCTTTTCTCAGAGCTGTAGCCGGCAGCCCATGTCCCGGCCTTGAGGCTGTGGGCACCAGGGTCAGGGGTGGGAAGGGGTGGATTCCTACTCTGGTGACCATGCACCCCACCTTGACCTCTCCTCTGTTTTTCTTCCTCTGTGCTCCATTCCTCTCCTACTCCTTCCTCTGAACTCTTTCCTCTTCCTTTATTTCCTTCTCTCCTATGCTCTGGAAACTCAGAAGCACTCTGAGAATTTCTCGATATTGCTAAGGGTCCTCATCCCCAGCCATAAAGAGTCGGCACCTGGGATTGCAGGGCCCTGGGAAGGGACTTTACCCCTCTGACCACCAGAGTCTTATCTGGATGATGGGTTAAAATAGCCCATGATTGGGGCTGGGGATGTGGCTCAAGTGGTAGCGCGCTCGCTTGGCATGCGCAGGGTGCTGGGTTCGATCCTCAGCACCACATAAAAATAAAGTAAAGATGTTGTGTCCACCGAAAACTGAAAAATAAATATTAAAAAATTCTCTCTCTCTCTTCTCTTTCTCTATCTTTAAAAAAAATAGTGCATGATTGTGAATATTTGGTGAGACGTGTGTAGAAATGTTTTGGAACCTGTAAGGCATAATACAGATGTGATTTTCTGCAACCCTTGCCCTTGACCCATCCCATTCCCTGTCACAGCCCAGCTCCCTCTCAGCCAGCCATGAGGGAGGCGGGTCCCTCCTGATCCCTTCTCTAGACTTCCCCTTGCACGTTGTGCACAGATCATTCAGCACTTAAAACCCAGTCAGAAGAGGGTCTCTCTCACCCAGGCTATGGTAAGGTTTATTCCTCTTATAAATTGCAGCAACAGGGTGGGGGAAAATAGAGAAGCTGTCTCAGAATTGACTTTAGGTATGGGAACTCCACCTAGATGTTCATTCTATAAATCTATGTCTGCATCTGTGTCTGAATCTGCTTCCATTTCCTAACCAGACTGCCGTCTAAGGGCCCTGATTCTCTGAACAGCCAGGTCTAGACCTAAGGCAGTTCCCAGTGTCACGAACAGATTAACAAATGTTTGTTGATTGAAAACTGATTCAGGATCCTCACTAGTCATTTTATAGTGGCTGGAACTGCTAGCTAGCTGGCAGATGGGGAATTCAAGGGACATAAAGGAGTCTGCAGAGTAACTATATTAATAATATTAAATCTTGGAGCTGGGCACGGTGGTGCACGCTTGTAATACCAGCAGCTCAGGAGGCTGAGGCAGGAGGATCATGAGTTCAAAGCCAGCCTCAGCAAAAGAAAGGCGCTAAGCAACTCCGTGAGATCCTGTCTCTAAATTAAATACAAAATAGGGCTCGGGATGTGACTCAGTGGTCAGGTGCCCCTGAGTTCAATCCTGGTACACCCCCCAAAAAATAAAAATAAAAAAATAAATAAAACCTGTCACACCATGAGCATTTATTACATCTTATTTGTGCATCACATCCATTATAATTCTCAGCTCTAAAAGGTGGATATGATTATTTTCCCCAACTTAAGAGGCTCAGAGACAGCCATATATTTGTCTAATATCATACAGCATAGAAAGAGGGGTTTGGAGACTTAAGTCCAAACCTATAAGCATCAAAGACCTGTGTGCTTCAAGGGCAAACTTTACCCTAAGGCTTCCATCTCAGTAGACTCTTTTGTCAGGTCTGTGAATTCTAGAAGGGAGGGAACCTCTGTAATTTAGCTGTGATTCTCTAACACTCATCCCAAGTTCTAAACATAATAGATGCTCAATAAATATTTGCTGCATAAATGAAATACTAATATTCATCATTTTGATATTAATCCTTTCTCTACCCTGCATTTACTAAACCTTGGAAACTTCTCTAGGAGACCAGAGACTTAGCTTTCCTGCATGGTCTGCAAACAATTTTTCTCCTCTAAACACTTTTATGTAGTCAGAGTCAGGTGAAGACCAACATTCAAGGTGTCTGAACAAAGTGACGGAGAGACTTGTGGAAGGGAAAGTGGCTTTGGTTTGGGGGTAGGAAAAAGTTGGTATAAAAAAGGTCTTTGTCCACTCGGGAATTTCTATGTTGAGATCTTCTTTCCTGAGCCCCTTCAGTACCACAGGAGTGTCACCTCCAATGCACTAGAAGGCCTGAGGTTATTGTCTGTGTTCTCCTGACCTGAGGAGAGCCCTGTCTACTAAAAGAGGTCAGCAGTGCCATGCAGGCCCAGGTTGCATGTGAGACCTCACACAGACAAAGCCCTGGAACAGATAGTGGAGCCAGTTATAGGGCCTGGGGAAGAAAATGCAGCCTCCCCAGGGAACGGTATATGCTCCCCACTGTATTCCATTCTATTCTGAGCACAGGATAAAGACAAGGAGATGCACTGGGCTTCTCCTGCATCCCTTTCTGGGCTCTGCTTCCTCCCGAGCTATGTCTGCAGGTAGCTGAGTAAGGCCAGCGCAAGGCCAGTGCAGGCATTCTGAGATACAGGGTGGGGGTGCTCAAGCCACCAGCCTTCTGAGCAAGGGCATCTCTCTGGATCTTTCTTCATCACCGGCTGGGGAAGCCTCTGGATGCCTCCACAGCCTCCTGTCCCGAGTTGTGATCCTGGATCTGACTGCACCTCTCTGCTCGTCCAGCCTGGTTCTATCTCCATGTCCCCTGCTGCTATAGCTCAGAGTGGCACTCTCCAAGGGCACCACGATTCCTATCCTGCCACTGCAGCAGACCATGTCCAAACTGGCTACAAAAGAAGACTGAGTCACTGAAACCCGACAGATCCCAGCTCCGTTAGTTGCCAGATAATCACGAGGTTTTAATCTGAACTATGGGAAAAACGTAACTTTCAATGATGGCTTGCCTCAAAATATTGAGTACATATCACATTCAGAAACCAGAGAAGATTACCAAAGGTGTGTGTCCATGTGGAACCCCAGGGCAATCGTGGACGATGGAACTGAGCATGAGGACAGAGTTTCTGATTTTCTGAGCTCCTTGGTTTGGGGAATGAGTCCTTACCGTCCTGAGGTGTCTTCGAAGGCATATTCCCAGCCATCGAGGGTGCGGCAGTATGGGCCCTGGAGGAGACCCAGAGCAGATATGACCAGGCTGTATCCAGAGAAAGCAATTCCCAGAGCAGAAAAGATAATCGACAACATGGTCTAAATAAGATACAGAAGAAGATTTAGAGAATGAGCAAAACAAGGAGGCCCTTTATTCACAGTACCCTTTGGGACCCGCCCCTGCTTGTCTGAACCCAAGGTAGCCCATGTAATTCCAAATGCCATATAAAAATGGGAAAATTTGGTGCTGGGGCGGTAGCTCAGTGGCAGAGCACTTGCCTCTCATGTGTGAGGCTCTGGGTTTGATCCTCAGCACCACATGAAAATAAAGACACTTGGTCTATCTATGACTACAATTAAAAAAAAAATGGAAAAATTTGATCCAAACCTGTCTGATCATAAAATACATTTCCAAATGATTTTTTTGGTTATCATTCAGAGGGTATCAGATCATTTACTAAATTTCTTCTATTTTTCTGGAAGTCTGCCATCAAAATAATGATGACCTTTTATAGAATCATGGTGAAGGGGCGTGATCCATCAGCCTGTAGCTATTTGTTGGACCTGTTATTTTCTAGGTAGGGCAGCTTCTCTAAGAATAAGCTCTGACTTCTGGTTCCCTTGTGAAGATGGTGTTTTAAAATCTTCACATGTAAGAATGTAACGGGGGTTAGAGGTGTTTGCTAGGTGTTCATGTTCAAGTTCACACAGAATGGAAAGGACCTGAAGGGCTTCTCTGTGTGGGGAGCAGGAGCAACGGCACAGGCAGATGTGAGAGAGTGGGTAGTGCTGCTCTGACCTGAGAAGGGCTCATTCAGAGGCTCGAGGGAGCAGCTCTGAAGACCAGATGGACCTGGGGTTAATGTTGGGGAGACAGGCTCCACAGACCCTATTCAACCCCCAAGGAACTTGGGAAGCAGCATGGATCTAGGCTAGAGATTGCTTGCATACCAGATCAAGGAGTCTGGACCTCTTCATCCTTGGCAGGGGCATGCCCTGCTCCAACATTTTATTAAAAAATGTTTACATCCACAGCAAAAGTTGAAAACATAAAACCACAAAGCCCTCTGTACTCTTTATCTAAACTCACCCATCACAAACATCTTCCCATGCTGTGCCCTTGCTCTGTGTGCATGTGTCTTTGCACATGTGTGTACACATATGTTCGTACCCACACACACTATTGTTTTGTTGAACCATTTGAAAGTGGGTCTGCAGACGTTATGATCTTTCACCCCTAAATACACAGCATCATCTTTCCTAAGGTTAAAAGCCTTCCATTATTTTGGAACTCTTTTTAATGGATCCAATGAAGGTTTATGTGCAAGGTTATGTCTCTCTACACTAGTCTGACTTTGTTTCTCATAGTATCAGATTTTATGAAGAATTCTACCAGTCATCTTGTGAAGGTCCCATATTCTGGGATTTCCTGCCTATTTCTTCACGTTTGGGTGCAGACGTCTAGGCAGGAACACCGGAGTGGTGAGGTGCACTGTGAGCCTCTCCTACTCTGAAGCTGAGCATGTTCCCTTGGCTAAAGGTGCCCCTTGGACCTCTCTCCTATAGGTACATTTTCCATTTTGAAATTAGTAAATAACTGGTGAGGGAGCCCTTTGAGACAGGGTCAAAGTCTGTTTCCTAACATTTCAAGTGATAGACCTGGCATCCACTGATGACCTCAATGGTCACCAGTGAACACACAGGGTATTGCAATGAACTGCTTTATTGATTCTATCATTTCTCTGAATTTTAGGTGACCCTTTCTTACCCAGAAGGACTTCCATTTCCCATTTCTCTCTCCTCTGCTTCTCTCTTTCAATATTATTGTGGACTCATTGATTTTATAATCCAATGTGCAATAATCCATAGCTGCTACTACTTTCTCAGATGCCCAGAGGGTCCAAATTTGGCCACAGGAACCCCCTTTGGGTCAATTCCTTGGCCTACTCCTATCATTCTTGAACAATTCCTTGTTTCCTGGTGCCCCAGGTTCATTTGGAATTTAGCCAGCCCCAGACTTTGAATAGGCTGTTTTTCTAACAAATCTTGGAACTGATTTTTGAGCAAGGAAATAACGTGACCCAATGTGCTTCTGGAGGCATGCTCTGGCAGTGGAGGCACAGAGCTGGAAGTGAAGAGCCCACAGGTGAGGGCCCCGCTGGAAATGACTTGGAGTTGAGGTGACAGACAGTCACTGGAGAAAAACACATTAGGGAGAAATGAGACAGGAGATGGAATTATTAAAAAAAAAAATCCAGAGTTGAAATTTAGATGAAAAGGGGAAAAAAACAAGGATGCCAAGAAGTATAGTTTGGTTTGGGAGAAAAACTAATTTATTTCAGAAATGTTGATTGGAAGGGGAGAGGAAGACAGGAAGGCAGTGACATGCAGATAAATCTAGAAGCTGAGACCAGAAGGCGGAGGACACACCTGCAACTTTAGGAATAAAAATGATGCCAAGTTGCAATCCTTTGTTCAAAATTATGTCACTGGCTATAACATCAGACTATTCCTAGCAGCCTTTTGTGCTGGAGATGCTAATTGGAAGTCAACATAAATTGGACATGTTGATTTTGGTTCTGTACTTAATGATACATACATTTGTTTCCTAGAATTTCCTTGACTAGCATGGCTTACGCGTTTACCTCAATCTATTGCTTCACCCAAACAATTCTGAAAGCTCTTCTGTAATTGTAATATAAGTAGCTATGGGACAGAGATGTCTAAGTGTATTGGTTGAGAACACACACACACACACACACACACACCCCTCAGGAACATAGTGCTAAATTAAGTAATTAATTTTCCAAAGGCCAAGAAATTTGGCCAAACCATCTTGGCTATAAATCCAAATCTGCTGGGGAGATTTTTAAAGAAATCACACCTATGTTGTATCTCAAACCAACTAAATGAGAGACCTGGGGTGGGGCGGGGGTGGAATTCAGGTACTAGGTTTTTTGCATGTTCCGGGTGGTCGCAATGGGAGCCTCTGCTGCAGAGTGCCCAGGAGAGTCTGATCAGGCTCCTCCTAGTCAACCAACACCAAGTTCACTTGGACCCACAGGTGCCTCCTCTGTAAGACAGCAGCCACGACAATCTACCCACTGGGCAAATGTGAAAGAACTAGAAATTGTCTGTAAATGTGATTTTAGGAAGGAGAGGAAGAGGAGATGGTGGGGAAGCCAGAGCCCAGGTGTGCCTGATGAGCTTGGGCTTAGGAGACTGGGTGGAACTATTCTCTCTGATTCTATTTTAATTATTTTTAAAGTTTTAAACCCAGCAACATGGATGAATATACAAATCATTAAGTCAATAAGAGAAATCATATAAAAAGAAAAATACGATAAGATTCATTTTTATATAAGATACTAACCAATCTATAATGACAGAGTAGATCAAAGGTTACTTTTGGGGGGTTAATGGAAATGTTCCATATGTTATTATTGCAATAGCTTCAAGGTGCATCCAATAGCCCCAACTCATAGAATGCTGCACTTTCGATGGATGCCATTTATCATATGTAACTTGGTCCTCAATGAAGTTGGCATGGAAAAAAATAGACTCCTGGAAACCCAGTGAGGAAAAAATAGTGCTCTTTCCTAATTCCATGTGCCTTTCAATTCTGGGATTCTAGAAAAGTACCATCAGAACAAAGGCAGAGGAAATAGGTAAGCGAAGTGGAAGACATCTCGAGTACTCTCAGTCTGAACCAAGGACCAAGAGTGTGAGATGACGTCAGTATGCTATGGATTGACAGGAAAGGAAGCTGGAACCCACCCACCCCCCATCCCCTGAGCTGCTGCTCTTACCATGTATTTTTTGGTGCAGTTTTCACTCTGGCAACACTTATAGCGGCTCTCATTGTCCAGGACAAGAAGAACCACAGCTACCATCAGCATCTGTGGGAGGAGGAGAAAATGTCAGAAATGGACACTCATTTGACACTGGTTCTGAGCAGAGGACCTGGATTCGAAGCACTGAGTCTGGAGTCAGGTGGACTTGGGTTCAAATCCCAGCTCAGCTGCTTTCTAGCTGTGTGAACTTGAGAGTCATTCTCTAAAATGTAGGGTTCAGAACTCACCCTGCTGAGTTATTATCAGGCACTATATAGCGCTTTGAGTTCAGTGCTGGATTCATAGTGATTGATCAATACTGGCTATTACTCTCAAGGTTTGCAATAGTCAAAGCTAATGGATAAGGAGGATTAGGCGGTACAGCCGTGAGCACCCCACTTTGGGCAGCAAATCTGCATTTTCTCTGCCTCAGTTGTGGAGGATGAAGGAAAATCCTTCACCAGAGTTTGCAGCCTGCCACTCTCTCCACTAACTGCCCTTGGGAAGGGTTAGTCTGAAACTTTATCTCTTTAAAGGAAGCTCAGTTTCCCATGCAATCAAAAATTTCCAGTGTGTTTTGTCTGTTTTAGGCCAACATGCTGGGATAATTCAATGTTTTCTGCTTCTTTTCTTGGTATCTTAGGCAAAGGACTCAAGCTCTGGAAAGGACGTGGATTTTGTTACTCTGAATTTCTGGCTAAGAGAGGTATGAACCAGAGCTTATGGGAAATTCCCCACCCATCCTTTGATCTCACTGTTGAGCACTAAATCCTAAGGTGAGGTCACTGTCACTCTACCATTGGCAACACCTCCAGTGTCCAACACCTTCAGCTTTCCTTTCTTTGTCTGTCCCTTTAACTGTTTATCTGTATTTCTCAAACTTCTCTTAACAAGGAATCAGAACTGCAGGAAATCATGACATTACAATAATATTTTGCAGCAATCCTTAGAAAATGAAAAATAAAAAAATGGGTTCTTCTTCCAGTTTTTAATCTTACCTGGAATACAAGTCAAGGAGTCCTATATTTTTTCTCCTTCCAACAATGTAATTATTACAGATTCTTATAGATTCTGGTTTAATCTTATTTATGTGTATTTTCCATTCATTACAGATACTTATTGAGGAAACAATGTTAAGATAAAGCTGAAGTAACAGTAACCAGTATCATTATAGTATTGGTACTCATAATTAGCCTTAGACCCTAGAGTCCTGTTGCTTAGCTGTTGACTGTTGAAAGAGAGGCTGCCTTTATTTTGTTAATACCACATGGTGGAGGACTCACAAGCAATGGAGGAAAATTACCCACAATTCCGCCCATCTTCATGTTTCCATATATTTATTTCCAGAGTTTTTTCATTTCCATGTTTTCTATAGTTGTAATAACAAATGTATCTAACTTTGTTGCATCTTTGTTCACTTAACATAAAATAATATACATTTTCGATGTTGTTATATTTTCATAATTACAATCTTTATCACTGTATGAAGGGAGTGTACCATAATTTATTTAGACCCTTTTCTGCTAAGATGCTTTTTAAAATAATGCTATAACAACCATGGTTCATATAACTCTTTCCTTATTTTGGATTATTTCCTCAGAATGAATGATGAGATTTAGGATTATCAAATTGAGAGACAACAGCATTTTCATGGACCTTGATGTTTTGCACCAAACTCTTCTCCAAAGGATTTGCTTTTATTGGCAGTGCCACTAACATTAGTTGTATACCCATTATGTGGCAACATCCATAGCATTGGGTATTAATACTTAAAAGTCTGCCAATTTAATATGCAAAACCAAAATGAAATCAAAAGTAAATGAAAACTGCTTTCCAACAATAGCTATTCAAATGTTGTAATAAGTAAATTCCTCCAAATACAGATAGATATAATGCCTTTTCTTCCACGTTATTGGAAGTCTCAGGAGATTACAGTGCACAATGTATTGTTTTCAGGAATGGGACCACCAGGAAGAGCGTCTTTTCCTCTGAGTTGCCAACATGAATTACTATCAGCTCATTTATTTTTGAAGAACACAAAGCCATCAGGAAAACATTCACGGATTCTTTCCAGTGATAATTTTGAGTTCCTATTTAAGAACATCCTCCATCATTGGAGAGGTGATTTGGACTCCTTACTGATAATGTGGCCCATTTTTAAATAAATATTTATAATTATGACAGTCACTGGCTACATACTACATGTCAGTCTCTGTCCAGGGCACTTTATCTGATTTTATTTAATCCCTACAATCACCCTGGGAAGTAAACATCATTATTCACATTTTGAAAATGTGGACAGGGAGGCTTTAAGTATCTTGCCAAAGGTCTCCTGACACAAATGACAGAGCCTAGATTTGAAAGAAAGTTTGTCTGCATCTCCAAGTCTCTGATTTTTCCATGCTGTTTTAGTACCCCTGCCCCCAGGCTAAAGAAATCCTGCGTGCAGACAGGAAATCCATTCTAGAAAAGAGTAATGCCACTGGAAATTAAGTAGCTTAAATTGATACACCAGGTTCATGATTTTTTTCAGCATAATATTTTTATAGGCCAGTGTCCCCCAAACTTTACTTGGACTAGTTTTCTGTATTGCTAAAGCCACATTGCTGAATAAGTTTATCCAAAACAAAGCTACGCCCCAAATCTTAAAGGACTCATAGTCCCTCCATCCCCTCCCACCTTCCAAATCTGAAAGTCAAGATTCATAGAACGCTTTTCATCACTTTGACTGTGTACAAGGCCATGCTTACTAACGGATCCCCATTCTGCAATCTCAAGTCTCCAAAATCACACTTACCATGACACCCGAGAAACAGATTCCTTCAAAATACCACACGTAGTTGGTAAGCTTATTGCTGGCTGCGTAGGAGACCTGCCCATTGGGGAAATACAGTAATATGTTCACAATGATGCTCCAAAGTGCAAGTGGAATTAGCAGGCAGCTCAGGCAGCCCCCGCACTTCCGAGACCCCATTGTATCCTGCTTACAGCTCGCAGAGTCCAAGAGAGAATTGCATACGCCGGTGGTCCTTTTTCCTGTCTGTCTTTTTCTTTTTCTTTCCTTCTTTCTTTTTTTTAAAAATTACCTGCCACTTTCTGGGTCAGAGCCCTTCACTTCAGATTCATGAGGAGCCAGGGCTTGGAGTACAACTGCAGCCCAGAACAATCCCTGTGAGTACTGGTTTACTATTTGGAGAACAATAGACAATGATCAAGGGCTGAGGAGCTGAGCTGGTCTTCATCCTGTGCCAGAGGAATGTGCTGTTTGACACTGCTTTGGAGAATAAGTCATTTTCCCCTGGATTAGAGCACTGCAGACTTAACCCTGAGCAAGTCTGGAGAAGGAAGTTGGGGGAGGCAGCTGGAATTGAGTCTGGCAAATGTCATCCAGCAGTGGAGACAAGGTTCAAGAGAAACCACCCAGGAGGCTTGGGTTACAGCATGGCCTCTTCATCCCTTTTCATCTCTCTCCCTTTCACCAAGGCTCTTGATGATTTTCTGTAGCTATTATTAGGGGTCATTCATACTGAGAGGGGTGCAAGGGGACTAAGGGACAGGGGATGGGGAAAGCCAGTGTCCCAACTGATGACTTGACTGTCCAAGTTCAGCACCGCCTTCCTCCCAAAGCGCCCGTCCATCACCTCTGCCTCTCTGAAAAAGTCACAGCAGGCACAAATGCATACGTTTCCTACTGTTAAGGAAAAGGAGATGAATGAAGGTGGTTTAGGACTCTGTGACCTTTTAATGAAGATCAGGAATTCTCTCTTTCAAATGACTGCCTTAAATGCAAAGAGCCACGGATGCCCTCTAATTATGATGACGTGAGAAGAAATTACTGCAGCAGGTTAAAGACCGAGTGGACAGTGGTGGATGCAAATCCAACAATTGCTGGACCAGTTCCTCCCCTTTCTGCTGGATCGGCTTGACTTCTCCTAAATCTCAACTTCTCAAATGTGAAATGGGAATTAAAAAAAAAAATAGTACCTTGCCCAGAAAGATAATGTGAAGATGTTTAAACAAGATTATGTGCACAAAACAGTTCCAGCTGCACATATAGACAGACAGACAGCCAGCTATCAATGGGAGCCATTAGTAATCATCTTTTATTTTTTTTAGTGCTGGGGATTGAACACACTTGCTAGGCTTGTGCTTTATCACAAGGCTACATTTCCAGTCTAGGGGTCATCATTAATAAAACAAAGAGTTATTAAAGGAATATAATTATCAAAATAGTACAGAGATTAGAAGAAAGTTTGCTTATTTACTCTTCAGTATACTCATGGAGTTCTGAATCATGGTCCTAAATCCAGACCCCATTATAGTCCTCTTTATAGTCTTCCTGAAACTGTTAATACACTTCAACATATATGCTTTTAATTTGGGAAAACAAAAATTTATTTTTATGAGAATCATTTTCAGATTACATGATTATAAAAAAGCTTTATTATACTTTTTTAGAAAATTAAGATATGTGGAAGCACTTCTGGATTGAAAGGAAACAAAAGTAGAAACCAGTGGTCTTGCACTATGATGGTCAGAGAGTTCTTAGCACCCCCTTATGTGCATGTGTGTGTGTATGCCTGTGTGTGTGTGGTGTGTGTGTTTTCTCTAGCATTTTTGATCCAAGTGCATCACAGTTCTGGACAATAGATCTCCCTCCCAAAGACATGGAAGCAGCCTAAAGTCACATTTATGGGCGTTCTTGCAATGATTGGAAAGAAAAGCATCACTTTTGATTGAATATTAATTGAGCACCTACCATCTGCCAGGTACTGTTCTAAGAGCAGAGAAAAGATCTGTGAATAAGAGTCCCAATCTCGGCCTCTGTGGAGTGGACACTCAATGGAGCACCTTAGGTGGCGATAAGTCTGGCTCAAATAAATCAAGAAAGGGAACTCGAGGCACCAGAGAATAAAGGTAGGGATATAATTTCAAACATGGTGATCAGGGAAGACCTTAATGACAATGTGACATTTGAGCAAAGATCTGAAGGAGGTAGAGGGTGGGAGCTGTTCAGAGAACTAGGGGGAAAGCATTCCAGATGGTGAGAACAGGAAGTGTTAGGAGACCTGGAGGTCGAAGTAAGCCACAGCAATGAGATCACTGGGGCTAGAGCCAAGAGAGGGAGATAAGAGGAGTTAAATATAAAAGATGACTTCTGAGCAGAACAATGATTTGGTGTTAACAGACTCACTCTGGCTGAAGGGCTGTGAACAGATGATATAGGCTGTCCATCAAAGAAAGGAGATGAGTTCTGACAGTGTCTTAACCATCCAGTCAGTAGCTGAAGGTGGCAGACCATGAATCCAGCAGCAGAGCTGCTGAGGACAGGCTGGACTTCGGAGGTAGAGCTGACAGAATTTGGTAACAGATGGGATGTGGGTGTAAGAGAAAGACAGGTGTCAAAGACGACTATCTGGTTGGGGCCTGAGCAGCTGGGGCCATGAGGCTGTGATGAACAGAAATGAGCAAAAGAGCCATAGTAGGTTGGGGAGGGAAGATGGCGTGCTCCGTTTCAAACATGCAAAGTTTTCAGACACTGGTAAAAAATCCCAGTGCAGATGCCTGATAGGCAGTTGGATGTATAAAAACAAGTTCAGGCAAGAAGATGAAGTTCAGGCAAGAAGCCTGGGATGAAGTGTACCCAGGACAGTCTCCAGTGGTGTGAATGGTATGTGTCAACAGGAAAGACGACTAAGGACCCACTCCTAGAAAGTCCAGAGCTGAGCTTGGGGACACGAGAGGAAGCCAGCAAAGAGCCTGAGAAGTGACCAGTGAGTTACAAGAAACACCAGGAGCCCATCCTGGAAGTTGAGGTTCCTGGAAGAGGGAGTGGACCCTCTGAGTTAACTGCTGCCAGTCAGACCAGTGGTGTCGGGGACTGAGCCCTGCGGAGTCAGTGGTGGCCTTGGTAAGAGGAGCTTTCATGATGGAGAGAAGAGACTCAGCTGGTGTGGGGTTGTGAGAGAATGGAGGAGAGGAACTGGAGAGGAGAGGTGACACATAATAATGGAGCCATCGCCAGAGGGAACGTGGGAATCAAGGAAGACTTTCGGGTGGGAGGTGGGGCCAGACAGTGCGGAGAGGAAGAGGAGTGCTGGGGTGTGTCCTTGAGTCAGGGAGAGGCGGGGAGCAGGGCTTAGGTGGCAGCAGGGGCAGGTCACTCCGGCAACAGAAAGGAAGACAGAGCACTTGGGCCTGGAGGTCATGAGTGGGAAACTCTGATGACTTCTGCTTCCTCAGTGAACCAGCTCATCAGTTGAGACGAGGATGGGCCGTGTACTAGCTGAGACCAAAAGACCTGACAAAAGTCACGTAGAGGAGAAAACTTTATTTGGCTCGTAGTATCAGAAGTTCATTGCCAGGTTCGTGACTCCATGACCTCCTGAGGTGAGGCAGAACATCTGGTGGAAGGGCATGGTGAAGGAGAGTAGCTCAGGACATGGCCACAGAGAGAGCTCCACTCACCAAAGATAAAATATAAACTCCAAAGGCCTGGCCCAGTGACCTCCTCCAGCTACATCCTACCTGCCTACAGTTAATCCACATAAGCGGATTAATCCACAGATTAGGTTATACCCCTCATGATCAAATCACTTTGTCTCTGAAAATGCTCGCATCCTCTCAACCATGAGCTTCTAGGGGACACATCATATCCCAACCAGAACAGGAAGGATGTTGAAAGCTTAGAGAGAGAATTTCAGACAGTTGGCTTAGAAAGGAGGGCGATGAGTGGACTAGGGCAGTGGGGCAGGCGCTCCAGTACGTGACCATGGATTGAGGATGAGGCCAGGCAGCTTGGGTGCTCTTCCCTGGGAGCTCTAGCTGCAAGGCATAGGCAGAGTGGGAAGAGAGCCGGACTCAACCAGGACTCGGAACTTGCTAGGCAAGAACCACGTAGACAGAGTGGGGAAGAGGATCAGGAATAGACGCAAAGAGCGGTTCTAGTGATGGGCTGGGAACACTGTGAGAGAGTGGGAGGAACAGGAAAAGAGCAGCAGGATTTTTAAATTGTGCGTCCCAGTGTAACAGGGGGGCTGTTGGTTTGGGGTGACAGAGCAAGAGTGGGCTCTAGGAAGACGACTGAGAGCAGGATGCTGAATTTGAGGCTCTAGAGTCATTTCGGGAACTGGTGAAAATGAGGCCTTGGAGGGCTGACATGGACTGGAGCATGTTCCCTCCAAATTCCCCACCTGGAATCCTGCTCTCATGGAGCCTCTAACCAGCACTGAAGGAAGGAGCGAGAAAGGAGAGAACAGGACGATCACAGAAGAGGGCCACTGGCTACCAAGATCCCAGGAGCTGCTGGGTTGTACAGACCAGTTTGCAAGGGTCTAAGAAGGTTCAATCAGGTGAGATGTCTTTCGAAGTGCTGATTGCCAACACTGGGTACTTTGGAGAAGTGTAAGCATACATTTCTCAATGCTTATGGAGACTGGAGTCTTAGAGGTTTTCCCACCTTGCGGAAAGGCCATGGCTTGTGGGAATTGTCCATGTCAGTGAGGACAGCTGTCATTCTCAGTCAGGGCCTCAAAATAACCATGTCCAACATCTCTTGAGAATCCTCTAAGTGAGTCAGTGAGCCAGAAGCTTTTGCAAGTATTAAAAACAAACAAAAATCCCCCCTAAGAAATTCTTACAGTGACACTGAGGTGGAAGACATGGTTAGGCCCATCTTACGTGAACACAAAAGCATGGATCTAAGGAAAGTTTTAAAAACGCACTCAAGAGCTAGAAATGAAGCCCCAGACCTTCATACAACTTGAACTCTTCCATCACGTCCTTCCTTGCTTAATATATTTCTGTGTATGGATTCTCCTTCTTCATTACAATTAGTTTTCAAGTGCGGAGCGACTTCTTAATAGTGGCTCCCTGTGGCACTGTTTGGAAGGGATGAGGACTTCAGGGGGAGGGACATACAGGCCAGAGAGATTACCTAGATAGATTAGTGATGTCTGTGATGGAGACGGGGTCAGGGAAGGGCGTCGTGCCTGGCCAGTGTTTCCCAGTCTCGGTCACTCCCAAAATAGTGTCTCTAATGATGGTTTCAGTTCATCAGTAGTTATGAAAACTTGAGGGGACACGAATGACCAGTTGTCATTTGGGAGACTGTCCAGAAACAGCAACAGGAGTGAACAAAGAATGCATAACTGGCTGGAACATTTGATAAGATTATGAAAAAGGAAATTGGAACAAGTTCCTTGTCTTTGGTTATCCCATCAGCGAAAATATCTAATGAAATCTCCCCAGAGAACTAAAAAATGTACTCCATTTTATTTCTAAGAAAACGTTT